CCTAGACAATGAAAGGTGTAGGTAGGAAGCCCATTTAAGAAAAATAATCAAAAGTGAGGCTTGTTTAGACCAATGTTCTCTTCCATTGTAAGAATTTCTTGTGATTTTTCTTTATACATGTCAATTTTTTGTAAAGAGTTTCAAAACAACCAGGTAAATATCAGAAAGACGTATTTTGGAGGATGATTTAATTCAGTAGGCAGTCTTTTTAACTTAGCTTCTGTGTCTTACCTAGATCTCTGAATTCACGATACAGCCAATTAATGAATTGGGCAAAGAGCATTTTTTGTGCCTGGCTCAGCATGGATATCTTTGAAAAATAAGCAAACCTGCTTGACCCAAGAGCTGAGGGAACTTTATCTAGCCTTTTTTTCACCTTTGGGGTGAGTTAGTAACTAAGTAAAAAGGTTGGAAGATTCTGTTTTCTTATCAGTCCCTTAAGCCTTTTGTTTGCCTTTTGTAAAGAGTCTTTTTAAAGAGGCAATGAAATTTTTTGGCAATATTTTTTAGAAGCTTCTGCACATCAATAGGTGTACCTGGGTGGGCCTAATTTGGGAGCTCTCATTTTTTTTTTTTTTTTTGTCCTTTTTGAGACCAACCGCACCGCGCTCAGCCAGTGAGCGCTGTGAGCTCACCGGTCATCCCTATATAGGATCCGAACCCGCGGTGGGAGCGCCCCTGCGCTCCCAGCGCCGCACTCTCCCGAGTGCGCCACGGGCTCGGCCCGGGAGCTCTCATTTTTTAAATGGACTTCTTAAAGTGCAGTGTTGTTCACCTGGAATGTTCTACATATGGCTGTCATAATTCTAAATTATCTTTAGTAAAATTTTGCCATTTTTATAAGTATTGTACTTTCTGGGGCCTAATTTTTATACATGTAAAAAGCACCTGTAGCCAAAAGGTGGAGTACTTGGTTCTTTAGAAATTAAAGATTCATTTTTACATTGTATGTTGGGTTTTTCAAAGGTGAGATAAACACCTAATAGGGAAACACCATGGGGTTGTGTTGTGTAATGCTTTCACAGTGTTCCTTTGTTGCACAGATTTCCTGAAGCTGGCAGGTTACTTGACCTAATATCAAGTAACCCATGTCCATGACCAGCTTTTCTTAACACAGGTGTCTTATTTTTTTGGTGGCAAGCACTCTAATAGCTGTGCAGTGCCCAACCAGTGCTCCCCCAGTTAAGTCATGGCTTTGGCTTTGAGATCCCCTTGACCAACTTAGCCAGTGATCTTCCCTACCTAATTACCCATGGAAAAGAAATAGAGGATAAGACACAAAATCCCTGTGAATTTCCAAAAGCTGATGTTCACACCTCCTGCAGTAATTGCCATTTACTGCCAGTTTCTGTCTGATCCAGTCAGACACCTGAGGCTTCCCTACAGGACCTGTCCTATTTCTGTGGTGACTGCTGCTCTTGTTAGTGATGTGTCAGCCACCGCAAACCCCAGAAGATCATATGCTCTCGCACAGCACAAACTAACCTTTGGTACCCACGCCAAGGTCATGCACACTCTCACAGCACAAACTAACCCCAGATTTGAAAGCCCAAAAGATCACAGGGTTCAATATTAAAAGAGCAGAGTCTGACCCAAGAAGAACTTACAGCCCTCAGGGCTCCGTGAGGAAGACGGGAACTCAAAAGGGGCCAGCGGGGCCTCTCTTGCATGTCTTAAGGGGCCTCAGGAGTTGTCAGCAGTGTCCTCCGCATCCCTTTGTCATCTCAACCGTCAAAAGACAAAGTTACAACAAATTAGAGACCTTATTTGGCTTTTATTTGCAATTCTGGAATCAGGCAACATGTCATTCTGTAAAACAGAATGAGTGGTCAATGAACTGAGCAGAGGAGGTTGGCTTTAGAGACAGAAAAGGGCTGAAGAAAGCAGAAACAGAAAAGCAGATGGTCATTTCAAAGTGACTTTCCTTGTAAAGGTTAACACCGTGGGGACTTCCTTATCGTGCTGGCTAAAACTGCCTTGTCTGGGGATTTGGCTGTTATTTTCTCCTGATTTCTAGGAAGGTCAGGTAAACGTCTTAGTTTTGGCTTTCTGATGCGGAACTTCACTATGAGTAACTCCATTTTGGTGTTTGGTCTCTTGGGTCTAGTGTAGGAGCTCAATCCAAACCAGTGGCCTCCTGTACATTTTACTTAACATACTGGTCCACAGTGCTTAGCATCAACCAGAGCTTTATGTGTCATTATGCTCATTAAGGTATTGACATTGATATTCCTGAGAAAGATCCCGCAGTCAGGACTTTCCCAGCACCTGCTGGCCCCAGACTCCCCGTCCCCCTCCCGCTGGGGCTGGGCTAGTAAGGAGAGGCACTGGTTCCATTTCATGGGGGATGGGGAAGGAAGGCATACAGAGAGTGAGGCAGCGACAGCCAGCGAGCAGGGGGCTGAGAACCCCCCGGGCACCACCTTTCTTCTCGTCCTCCATGGCCAACAGCCACCCCTGCCCTCCCTGGGTCTCTTTTCCATCCTGAGCCCTCTTGAGACTAGCACAGAGGCTCAAATCCTGGGTTCAGGTCCCACAATCACCGTTGATTAGCTGTGTGCCTTGGGCGTGATTATCTAACCTCTCTGTTTTATAGTGGAGGAAAGCAGGTTAGAGATAAATACCTTTTTACTTTCCTCATAGGCTTGTTGCCAGCACTAAAAGAAATGTCAGGCACACAATAACTCTCATTACATTTGCTAATATCATCATCATCTAAGTAAGAGCTGAGCCTTTGCTATTGACTGACAGTTGTGAGGTATAGAGAATATTTAACTAGAAGACAAACGATTTTTGTCATTCTCAGTCTCGTGGGTAAGGCTGTAATCGGAACAAACAGCACAAATATAAAGGTAACGTGCTGATCCTGGTGAGGTGGAATCAAGTCTGGTAGCCCATGGACAAGCTTGGAGGCTTCTCTGTTTCCTCATTTGTAGAGTGGGAGAAAGGATGCCCACCTCAGATGGTGACAAATACTACCTTCCTATTCCTGCAGAATCTTCATGCCCCAGTGGGCAGTGGCCATCAACTCTGGCCTGAGGGATGCACTCTTGGAGAGGGGAGGAGCAGTTGAGGCCTTGTGGTCCTTGGTCACCCTGCCGAGTGGCCTTGTGAAGCCCTCTGCACTTGATTATCTGAGCGTCCTCACTGGTGGAAATCCATCAAATTACCTCTCTTCTGCTCTTATATCTAATTGACTTACTGACACTTCGTGAGAATAGCTTATCCTCACCCGTGAGTCTCCCCAGAACAAGGCGACCAGAGCCCTAGATGCAGAAGGAGCCAAGGTTAGAGTGTACCAGATGACCCGATGAGGTGACCTGTGCTTCCCACCCTCTCCTGGGCCTCCCTTGGGTGGGAGGCACAGAAAGGACCTGGGTGCTCTTGCCAGTGATCCAAGGCCAAACTCTGTACCCGAGCAGCAGGCTGCCATTGGGGAGCTCTTCTCTCCTATGTCCGTGCTTTATCCCCTACACCAGCATTCAAAGGTGACTCGCTTTCACCTAACCACCCCACCCCCACCCCTGCACTCCTGGACCTGAACAAAGACTGAGGCTGAGAACAAAGAGAAAATGTTCTGGCACTAGATCTGCCAAGAGACAGCCCCTGGCCTGGGTAGATTGTATAATTCAGTAAACATTCACCATGCCCCTCTGGTGTGCTGGATAATGGGGGGTGCTAGACAGTGAGGTTACAAAACAAAAAGACATTTGGAGATGGGTGGGCTTGCAACTGTGTGGTGGAAACAGGAAGGGGCCCTGAGCTTTGGGTTTGTGAGGCAGCCCTTCCTGGGGGAGAATAGTATTCAAACTGAATTGTACCTAACACACAGGAGTTCATGGGGAGGGAAAGGATGGGCTGCGGAGAGGCTCTTTCTTATGGGGAGTGGCCTGGAGATGTGTGAGAGAGAGAGCACTGTGCTCTCAGGGAAGGAGCATTCCTAGAGCATAATTTGTGCAAGTGGTAAGAGGAGGCCGGAGGTGTGGGCAGGGCCAGATCCCGAATTGCCTTATGGCTTTCAGTTTCTGAAGGCAATGGAACCACCAAAGAATATTGAGTAGAGGGTGATGTAATGAGGTCTTTAGGTAGAAAAGATCATTTGATGGCTGGAGAGGCCAGTGAGGGGTGGAGCACATTAGAATCTTGCTGGAAGGAAATAAGATGTTTATATGAAGAAGCCCTGCCATAACAAACCCTGCTCTAGCCCACTAGACATGGAGGGTGGGTTAGAGGTGAGGTGAGCAGAGAAGCCAGGTCAGGTGTCCAAGCCAGTCTCAAACAGGGGTGAGGAGGCAGAGGATTGGGTGGGAGAGGAGACCTTGGAAGGAGAGTATTCAGGATTTGGAGGTCGGATACCTGAGCCTGGCACATAGCAGACCCTGACCACACCCGCCTCTGTGCAGGCTGCTCTGCAATGAGATTTAAAGCCAAAGGATACAAACCAGCTTGCAGCGGATAAGCTTAAGCTGCTGGTTCCTCCCCTAGGATTCTCGCCTCCATTTCTGGCTGGGGACCCAATCCCCAACACCCTAAGCCCCACCCAGCTAAGCTGGGCTGACTGCCAATATCCCTGGCCCCAGAAATCTTCACTGAGGGTCCACTGGAGAATTCCAAACCCCCTGAGTCATGCTCTCCAGCCTTCTGGAACTGATCGCCCTCTGGGGGGGTCGCAGTAACAGAGGCAATGCCAGGGCTTTCCCCAGGGGGGTCAGGCTCCTCTGCCATCTCTCTCCAGCCCCTCCAGCCCCTCTGCGCTTCCCTGCAGAGTAGCGGGGAACACAGATCTCATTATAGGACAGCATTGCTTGTGCTAGTTAACTGTATGCTAGGCACAGGCCCATTCTTGTGAGACTCTGGAGGAAGGTGTGACCTTTCTTATAAGAGCTTTGGGGTCAGGGGCTGTGGGGGCTGGTGGGGATGGAGCATTGCCTGGGAGAGGTGAGCAGGCGGAGGGGGTGCCAGCCCCTCGTGCTTACCCTGGGGTTTTCTTGTCCTTTCAGACTGGAGGCCAGCGCTGAATCTCGGTGCCCTGGACTGTGCTGACGAGACCAACAATGTAGTCTGCAGAGACTTCAACATCCTTGGTTTCCCGACTGTGAGGGTGTGTGACAAGGAGGGAAAGTGGGGCTGGGGGGCGCTCTGGCCAAGTGATGAGCAGCTCCTCTGTGCTTCCCTGCATCTGCCCGGGCTGCCGGGCTCTGTGGGCTGATTTGTTTACATCATAGCCCCTGGAGCATTGTCCCTCTGCTTGATGATACACTTGTTTTAGAGGCAGAAGCAGAAAAGGAGGTTCACTTGGCGGGCTCTGTGGGCTGATTTGTTTACATCACAGCCCCTGGAGCACTGTCCCTCTGCTTGATGATACACTTGTTTTAGAGGCAGAAGCAGAAAAGGAGGTTCACTTGGTTTGGAAAATTCTGCCCTTTATAAGGGTAAGGGGCCGCGTGTGGATGTGTCAGGAGGGCAGATTTCACCTGCTCTGGTTGGACCTGTGAAGTGGTCACCATGTGGGTGGAGAGAGCTCCCAGCTCCTAGGGCCCTCTTCAGTTCCTCTCCCTCCTGACCTCCAAGTCTTAGAGGCCTGATCTAACTCTATGAAACCAGGATTCAGGATCAGACTTTATGAGCCTAATGGTCCTGCAGAAAGGGACCCCCGGGATACCTGCAAGCCTTGAACCACAAGTAGCTCAGAAGTGACCTGTCAGTGTAGCCTCACCCCACTGTGGAAATGCTGATGCCTCAGGAGGCAGGTATCCCCCACACAGAGTTATCACACCCAAGGTATGAGGGCTCTGTCACCCAGCTCTGGCAGAAAGTGACACGAGCTCTCAGATGATGCCTTGCCTGCCAGCCTGTCCACCCCAGGGTAGCCGCAGCTTAATTAATGTCTGAACAATTCCCAAGGCTCTCAAATAGGAGGCCAGGATAGCCCAGAACAGCCAGGCTGCTGCAGTTATAGTGAGGACCCTCCCCAGGGCTTAGGCATGGCTCTAATCCAGTTAGTTTTCTTCTAAATTAGAGAAGCAAATCCAAATCTCTCTCTCTCTACTTTCAGCTATAAATAGTATGTCCCCTTCCACCAGAATGGCATCTAGAAAAGCAGTTTCCTCTGTAGCCATTAAGAATGATCAGGAAATGCCTTTGAAAGCTGAAATGCCAAGCATTGTCCCCAGAACAAGATATCTCTGAGCTCAGGGGCCTCATGTTCCAAGCAGAACTCTGATCCAGAACTTAGCCTAATTACCCTAACAGCATTCATCTGGCAAGCAAGGCCCCAGGCTCCTCCAGGAATGTTCCGCTCTAGCTGCATGTGACCTTTCTGTTCCTCAAGTCCAGTGAAATCCTGTTGGATTCAGGGGTTCCACAGCCCCATAGGGGTCCCTTCCTAAACTGTTACAAGGGTCAGCGGACAGGCCTCAGGTTTAGCTGAGGTCAAGCTGGTCTGGGGAACAGTGTGGCCAGCCAGTAGCTATTGCCATGTCATTTAGAGGTGGCAGCAGAGAGACTGCTTATCGATGATCTCCCTGGCAGGGACATTGCCCTATCCTCGGCCCCAAGATATGTTATTGAAAATACTCCCACGGGGCACTCTGTTCTTTTTGCTGAACCAGGGTGAGCTACCCTGCGTGGGAAGCTGTGGGAAACCAGTGTGGCAGCAGGAGCCGGCAGTCACAGCAGATATTTTCTCCCTTTGAGGACTGAGCACAGGGGTCCAGCCACGGCCCAGCCCCAAGGGGAGGGATGAGCATTGGTACAGTGGCTAGGTCAGGACATTCTGTGGGGGTTCTGTAGGGCCTGACACCTGGGGCTTTCTATTGTGTCTGGGGGAGGCTGGGCCCAGTGGGTGTGGAGGACTGGCCTGGGCAGTCAGAGGTTCAGAGGCTCCTCGGCACTGCCCCAAGTCACGCAGCACACGCAGCCTGGGTGCCTTAAGTGACTACTCATCGCCTTACCTGCCAGCTGCCAATGGGAGGGGTGGGAGGGCCCGTAACCGGGCTTCTTGGTCTTCCCCTGCCTCCAGACGGGCGGCACCTGGCTGGGCCAGTTTCATAGTCATCTGCCCATTTCCTAAGCTCTCCAGACACCTGTGTCATGGCCCCCCTTGACAAAGCCTTCCCTGCCTCTCCTGAAGAACCTGCCACTCAGTTTTGGCCCAGGAGAGGCACTCGTGCCATCCTTAGGCCTCTAGTCCATAGACCAGGTGGTTCAAGTGCTGGGTGGGTCTCTGCGCTAAGCCCTACCTGCTGGCTTTCCAACATTTTGTTACTGGGACCTACAGAAAAATACACATTTTACATTGTGACCCCAAAGTTGGTTTGTATCTATTACTAAAAGTTTCACTAAAAAAATACTTATTCTTACTAAGTGCAGTACACTCTGATAGTTTCTGTTCTGTTCTGTTTATTATTTATTTTTCATGATATGACTTGAAATTTTATTAACACCATTGGAATTGCTGCATAAGTGCACCCAGTTTGGGCTATTCATTCATTTTGTTTGTTTTTGTTTTTAATGTTTATTTTTAATTGACATATAATAATTGTACATATTTATGGGGTACAATCTGATGTTTCGGTACGTGTGTACAATGTGTAATGATCAAATCAGAGTAATTAGCATATTCATTACCTCAAATATTTATCATTTCTTCATGGTGAGAACATTCAAAATCCTCTCTTCTAGCTCTTTTAAGATATGCAGTGCCTTACTGTTAACTATAGTTACCCTACTGTGCAATAAAACATCAGAACTTATCCCTCCTTTCTAATTATAACTTTGTACCCATTGACGAATCTCTTCCTATTGTTCTATTTATTTTTTTAAAATACTGGCTTTGATTCACTGAGTTGATTTTACAACTTATTACTAGGTTGCTTCTAGTGTTTGGAAAAACATTACTCAAATTCCAGATCTCCAGAGATTCTGGCCCATTGAGAGTCTGGTGTGCCTGTGGGCATCGTGGCTGGTTTCCCTAGAAAGCAGAGCAGACCCTCGAGGTCTGCCAGGCTGCCAGCAGGCCAGAGAGTTAGCCCTGTTGCCCTGTCAACTGCCTTTGGGGACTGAAGCCTGTCCTTGTGTTCTATACCCATAAAGGCTGGGAGAGCCTGAAAGTGAGGGCACATGTTGGGCAGGGGAGAGGAGAGGGTGTTCCTAGTATGATGGGGACAGGCCCAAACCAGAGTCTGACTTCCCCCAGTGACATGTGTCACTGTCCTTTTCCTCTGCCCCTTGTCTCCATGAGCAAACAGTGAGCTTCCACCAGTCCAGTCTGTTTAGCAAACACCTGGCCCCAAAAGGCAGCCCCGCTATGTCAGGTCCCCATCAGACTGGAGCAGGAACCTAGATGAAAGAAAACAAAGGTATGGGCGGGAAGGGCTAGTTTGCAACAGGTTCTAGCTGGAGCTTGGGGACTTAGAGGCTGGAACTTTGGCGGAGAGAGGGTTTTCCATGGGCCACAGGAGTGTCCCTCAGTAGGTAATGTGATGGAACCCTTTGTGGCCAAACTGGGCGGGAAGGGCTAGTTTGCAACAGGTTCTAGCTGGAGCTTGGGGACTTAGAGGCTGGAACTTTGGCGGAGAGAGGCTTTTCCATGGGCCACAGGAGTGTCCCTCAGTAGGTAATGTGATGGAACCCTTTGTGGCCAA